TTATTTGGTAGATTTTGTAACCATCTTTTTATCCTCTTTCTTTACTAATTAATATTCTCTCCTACAAAACTTCAGTTCACCATTTCTATTCCATCTCAAACACTTCATTATGTTGAGCTTTGATCTTATGCCATTTTTTTTTTTTTTGGTTTGTTTTATTTTTACCTTTGAATTTAGAAAAATGATTGCCTAAAGCTAGTGTAATAATATACATTATTTTTTAAATTGGATTTTATATAGATGTATTCACATTTGTGTTGATTTTGGCATTCTCATAATACCACCAATTTTTACTTGGTTGCTAGCAAAAATATGACTTTAACCATAGGATTTAGAATTTTATGTGGCCTCCTTCAATGTTGTGCGAGACAACAAGGTTTCATATTTAATGCAGCTTACTAGAGGCAAAATATTGTTTTCATATTTTATTATCAAAAAAGTGTTTTTTAATCCTAATTTTATCCGACTACAAATATAAACATTTGAAAAAGTGCCCTTCTCAGATCTAAGAATCCATATTTTGCATGGGTTAGGGGGAGATATGCTAAAACTGTTTTCCCCTTTTTTTACTAGTGTAATTCCCTTAATATATGTGTTCAAGAAATTGCTATACCTTAAACTTGTCATCCATACTATAAGTCCTCCTTATTGTTGTTGGAATATCTTCATTTTTTTTTTTTTTGTATGGATCACCTGGTATCCAGAAGCTCATTGAATCACTAATTAATCTGGATTCGAACTGGACAGAACCCAACGGGTGGCAAAATTCTCCTTCACGAGTTTTAATGGAACTGCATTCCCAGGACTTGAAACCAAGACCTCTGGTTAAACTAAAGAAATCCCCTGCCAACTCGTTCACCCTCTCGTGGGTGTTGGAATATCTTCATAAGTGTTCCTTTTGTAATGCATACTTGAAATTATGGATGGAGTACCCCTTGTATTTCTTATCATAATAAATCATTTTGATTCATCTAAAGAAAAAGAATCCATATTTTGCAGTCCTTTCAAACCACAAAATAATAGACTCTTTTATTATTTGTCTCTAGCAATAAATTTTTAGTTATATTTCTTTCTTTAAAAGTGAAAATACATCCCAATGACCTACAAAACAAGTTGGGAAATGCTAGTAATCTAAAAATCTAAAAATAAGAAAGCTCAGTCTTGGTTTGTTCCTATCTCTCTCATCACTCCCTTCTTCTTCCTTTCTCTCACCTCATTGCCCGTCCTCTTCCTTTCCCTTGCAAGCACTCTCCTTTCTCTCACTTCATTTCCCACCTTGCCCTTCAAAAGAATATGGAAGAAGTTGTAATAGTGTCTCTAAATTTTTGTTGGGTTAGGGGCAATCTAGTTTTTAAAGAAGGTACTGTGGGTAATTATCATTTTGATCATAAAAAGTTTTGTAATAGTGTGTTTGTTGTTACAAGTTTGTTTGGGTGGCATTGGTTCTTTTTCACTATAGATCCTATGCTGATTGAATTCCAAATTTTTCTTTTTTTGCTTGACTTTGGAATTTGGGGGATTCATGTTGAGGAAAACGAAATCATGCTTATGAAAATTTTGTTTCTCTTCTTCTACAAGAGATTGGCCTTGATTTTTAGGAAAAAGAAGCAAACATTAAAAAGGCAACTAATGGCTGTTGTTTTGGGACTTGGTGTATGTGTCAGAATTGCAGCCATCACCTTTCCTCTTTATCTTTCTTCGAATTTCAGTAGATGAGTGTATGATCTCCTTATTCTTTCTTTTGCTTTAAACAATTAAGAGCTTTGATGATGTCTTGAGTATTCTAAAATTAAGAAAGCTTATTCTTGGTTTGTCCCTATCTCTCATCACTCCCTTCTTCTTCCTTTCTCTCACCTCATTACCCATCCTCTTCCTTTCTCATGCAGGCACTCTCCTTTCACTTGCTTCATTTCCCACTTTGCCCTTCAAAATAATAAGGAAGAAGCTGTAATAGTGTCTCTAAATTTTTGTTGGGTTGGGGGCATTTTGGTTTTTAAAAAAGGTATTGTGGGTAATTGTAATTTTGACTTCAAAAAGTTTTGTGATAGTGTGTCTGTTGTTACAGGTTTGTTTTGGGGGCATTAGGTCTTTTTCACCATAAATCCTATGCTGACTAAATTTCAAATTTTCTTCTTCTACTTGGCTTTGAAATTTAGGGGATTCACGCTCAGAAATGGAAATCATGCTTATGGAAATTTTCTCTCTTCTCAGGTAAGAGATAAGCCCTGATTCTTGGGAAAAAGAAGCAAACATTAGAAAGGCAACTAATGGCTATTGTTTCAGAGACTTGGTGTGTCGCAATTGTAGCCATCACTTACTTTCCTCTTCATCCTTTTTTGACTTTCAATAGACGAGCGTGTGATCTTCTCATTCTTTCTTTTGCTTTCAAACAACAGAGAGCTTTGATGATATCTTAAGTAATCCTTCTTATTTTCTTCCTGCATTTTTGTTTGTTTTAGGTAATGTTCAGTCTATTTCTTAAGCTATTTTCACTTTTAATTAGGAGGAAGGATGGAGAAGATTCAAGGGGATGGATTTCTACTTGGTGAGATGGGTTATTCATTCTCGGTTTCTATTACAAGTTTCTTTTGCTTAATGCTTTTCATATGACTTCTTTTGTTTTCTCACAAGATTTTATGAATTTCAACTAATTGTTTGTTTGACCTTTCCCTATATCTCCCCGAGTGAATCGATGTTGGACCTTTTTCCACTTGAGAATTCTCCTGTGCTCAACAAAAGATAATACCCATTAATCCTAATAGCTAATGTTGGTGTTTCCAACTATAGCGTTCGCAAAACTTTTCTATCAGTTGGCTGCTGCGGGGGCATAATCTGCAAAGATTATGTGCTGAATATATAGGCAAAATATATAACGACAATTCCATCCAAGTATAGCTTATTTCTTTGTAGCTTTATTAACTAAATAAAGTTTTTGTGTTCTTTTTCCATTCTTTCTTTTTGGGTATGAGTTTGAGGCTGAGATTATTCAGTGATTAAGAAGTTTTTTTTTTTTTGGCCAAAAACCTAGGAACTTCTTAAGTGATTGAGAAGTAGCTGGCCATTTTTTTTGGTTTAATGGAGAAATTAGTATCTTTCTGTTGGTTACAGTTATCATCATTAACTCAATTGATGAATATATGCGTTCTATTAATACTGAGCAGCTTTCTTATTAAATTTCATGAAATTCCTTTCTGGGTGTGAGGGATTGATTTCTGTGGAGAAACTTGGCCGCTCAATATAAAAGCCACTTACTTTAAGCCAATTTAGTGGGTTTTAGCGGCTGATTTCTGTGGAAGTTTGATCGCGTTAATTGAACTGTAAGAATCAGTGGTCTTGGAGGGTTGTATGGTTTCCTCTCTTTTATTTGGTCACCTTCATACTAACATTTGACAAAATCTGCAGGGACTTCAGAAATAATAATCTTGCTGGTGACATACCTTATGGTCTTCAGCCAAATTTACTGCCATTGTAAGCCTTATGTGCTTATTTGTGTCCATAACCTTTCTTTTTGTTCTACTTCCGACTTTTGCAGTGATCTTCAAGAACTTCTTTCTGAAAGGAAAAACCTTGCTAATAATCAATTTAATCAGGGATGGCCGGAAAAAAAAAAAATCAATTTAATCAGGGCCATCCTTATTCTTCCATCTACTCTATGACTTTGCTTATATATCAGTGAGTAATGTTCCTCACACTAATTCATTTCGTAACTTCTTTGGATACTAAAACTAGAAGCATCTTTCTTTTAACATTTTTGTATAATTTTTTCTCATTTTTTGGCATACCATTTTTTTTCGTAATCATCCGATCTTTAAGATGGGTTGCCAAAGATTCACCATTCCTTTGAATAACTTTCTTCTTCTGGGTCTTTCTGGCTTGGCTTTTGTTTTATTTTATTTTATTGTTTTTTTTTTTTTTTTTGTTGATTTAGTCGTTTTCTAGGTTTGTCCTTTATAAGAATATGTTAAACTTTGTAGTATATTTTTGGATATGCATGTTAAATTGCTAATTAATATTGTTAATTAGTTTTGGATGGTATTCATTTAGATAGTTGTGTTTTTTTTTTTTTAACAGATTATAATTATTTATATATTAATTAGAGGAATTGGAAAGAAATTTCATGAAGTTCAAACACATAAATCACAGAAATGAACGATCTTAATTTAGGATCCAATGCCACTAAAACAGAATAGACCATTCCATTTAGGTAGCTGTTTTATATCTTGATTAAACAGAATTTTACACAAATATGATATATATATTTTTTGAACAAGATTATAAGTTAGAAGTAAGGGATTTGAATCCCAGCCCTCGAATTGGGGGTTACATCTTAAGAGCTGACCTATAGCTATTACACCGCGAGGGCAGGTGCACAAAGATGATAGTTTTTATTACTTCGGGAGCCTCTGTTAATGCCTTAAGCCGTACGCTTATTCATTTCTATTTTATTTCTGTTTTCCTTGATAACGCTGTATGCAAAAAGATAAAATAGTGGAGCGACCAGAACACAAGTGTTTGACAAATGTAAGTTGATTATTTGATCTTGGCTTTGCTTAACTTTTTTAGTAAGTTGATCCTATCTGCTTTTACCAAGAGAGATAAAGAGAAAATTAATTACTCACGTTAATTTTTAATTTTTAGTAGATTTAATTTGATTTTTTAATTTTAAAAATATAAAATTTAAATAAAAATTTAATAATCTATATAAATAACAATTAAATTTTTTTTTATTAAATGAAAAAACTTAACTAGAACAATATATAAGGGCAAAAGATATTTTAGTTATTGTTCAAATAAATTATTAAATTTTTATTTAAAATTAATGTTCTAAAAGTCACTAAATTAAATTAGGTCTACTAAAAATGAATGAAGGTAGTACAAAGCAAGTTTTCCTTATGGAGACCAAGACTTAAACCTAAGGAGTTAAGATGAATTTGTCTAAACTTTAAATCATAAAATACTATTAAAGCTTAGTTCAATCTTATGTACACTTCTATTTATGACATTCCTTTTCTGTTTTATTTTCTTGGAGAACTAACCATTGATGTAAAAACCCATGAATTGAGAAACAACGATGAGAGAATTAAGGCTTGCAACCCCTCTTCTATAAACACAAAAGCCAACTCTTTTATTGCTAAAGTTTTTATTTTTGTTGCTTGATGCAGATAGCTATGGAAACTTGAATGTGGCCCTAACATTCATATATATATATATATATATATATAGGATCGTGATTCATGCACCCCCGGTTAAACACCCAGGGTGCACACACCACTTAACCACATAATTTTAAAAGTAAAATTACAGATTTATCCCTTTTTTTTTCTTCATTTTTTTTTTCGTCCGGGTTCTCTCGAGAACCCAGACCTGGGTACTTCTCGGAGAACCCAGACCTGGGTACTTCTCGGAGAACCCAGGTCTGGGTTCTTTGGACAACCCATCGGAGAACCCAGACGGGTTCTCCGAGAAGAACCTTGGGTTCTCCGAGAACCCAGCCTTTCCTTTTTTCTTTTTTTCTTTTTTTTTTGTTCGTTCGGGTTCTCGAGAGAACCCAGGTCTGGGTTCTCTCGAGAACCCATTGGAGAACCCAGATGCGTTTTCCGGGAAGAACCCAAATGGGTTCTCCGAGAAGAACCCAGTCTCGGAGAACCCAGAACCCATAACACAGGCCCTTTTTTTTTTCTTTCTCTCTCTCGGGAGAACCCAGAGACCATCTCCTTGCATCTCATCATCATCACAACCTCCACCTCCATCACCATCCTCAATCACCACCAAAATAGAAGGAGAGGGGCAGAACCATAGATCCCTCTGTTTTCCATCACCATCGTCACCATCACCACCATCATCATCGTCATTGCCAAGCAGCCCCAAAAAAAAATATATATGAAAGGGTGAAGCAGATCTCGGGGAAGGAGAAGAATTCGGCAGAGGAAGATGGAGAGACAAGAAGAAAAAGGAATATTGAGAGGAAAATGACTTTAAGGTTAAATATGTAATTTTGTTGTTAAAGTTGTTTGGTTACTAAGGGTGTGCACCCCCCGGGTGTTGAACCGGAGGGTGCACACAGCATTATCCATATATATATGTGTGTACTTCTCTTGTGCCTCGGTTTTTTAGCTATTGCTGAAAAGTTCTTTTATTTTGGTGCAAAATTTTTGCATTCGTTCTTTTATAATGTGTTACCAACTACTTTGTGGTGTATGTTATGGATGTTATAGCATTAAAATATTATATTGTAGATTTGTAGATTTATTAGATTTTTATACCCTTTTAACTCCAGTTCTATCCATTAAGTTTCAATATTTAAGATGCATATATAAAGATACAAATATAAAAATCTTTTATTTATTTATTTATTTTTGAATTAGTTTTATGCAAACCAAAAGGGTTGTTGTATATGATTTTAACCATTCTTAAACTCTCTTAAATTCGTATTTAGACTTTCAACTTAACCTACAATGAATGTATTAAAATCAAGACATAATAATACAATATAATTTGATGCCGTGCATGACTTGAATATTAACCACTCACTGCATAAGTCAATGATGGAAAGCCTTGTTTCTACTTCCCAAACACTGAAGTTGACCATAGTTACTCACTTTGAGCTAAAAGAAAAGGCAATCATTATAACAAAAAGCCAAAATGATTATTTTTTTGAATATACTTACGTCAAGAGCCTGGGTTGCAAAGAGTGAAATTAGGAGGCAAAAGGGATTTTGTTAGAGTATATATATCTTTTCTTTCTAATTAGCCATGCCTTAGACCATGATACAGCCCTTATCAAAGAATCTGAAAGCTGTTGAATTTGAGTGTGATATTTCTAAAAAAAAAAAAAAAGAGAAGAAGAAGAAGAAGAAAAATAAAGGAAGATGAAGAGAAGCAAATGTGGCAAACAAGTTGAGATTCCATTGGTAGAAAAATTTCATTCCTCTAGCCCAAAATCCAAATTTTGAAAACTCAAAATTCCATTGTCACTTGATTGCTAATCCTTGAAGTGTTTTCATTGGCACCCTCACTATTGTTATCATTTGAATCCTTACAAAGCTATTCTTGAGGAATTTGTTCGTTTGTGAAAATGGGATAATTTTTTTCGAACAAAAAAAAAAAAAAAAAGGAGGATTCAAAAGAGAAGAGTGAGAAAAGAAATTTGTGTTTTGGGAGTTGCTTTTGAAAAAGAAAAAGAGAAAAAAATAGGAAAAGAGACAAAAAAACCATTTTTATGGAGGGGGCTTCTTAATTGTACCCTAGGTCAAATTGGTAGTTGTTATTCATGGAAGTTAAATCACATTCTTTGTCCATATAATTCATTATGCTTCACAAGATTTTTTTTTTGTTAATCTTGCCCATGATTGTTTTAAACGTCAATGAATTTGGCATTGATAGCAATATCTTTGAAAGTTCTAAAAATTATCTTCTTTGCATGTAAAATTTGACATTTGAAAAATTGAAATGTAGATGCATTGAATTCTTGATGATAGTATGAATGAATCAAACATGTTCAAAAAATTTAAAGCATCATCAGAGATGGAAAAGATTAATGATGGTTCAAGATGACATTAAAGACACTTGTTAATCTCTTAAGTCTTCAAGGTTGTAGTTGTGGATATTAATGAAAGTTCAAGATTGAATTAAATGGAAAATGAGAAGACTTAAAGAAGGTTAGATTGATCATTGGCAAGAGGCACAAATTATTGAGGTTTGAAGAAGAACAATTCTATTCAAGATCATTGTCAAAGAAAAGAGAGATGAAGATTGCATCTAAGGAAAAGTAGAAGATGAAGACCACATCTTAAGAAGAAATGATAAAGATCACATCTTAGAAAACCACATCCTAGATGAAGATCACATCTTAGGAGAAGTAGAAGATGAAGACCACATCCTAGATGAAGATCACATCTTAGAAAACCATATCCTAGATAAAGATTGCATCTTGGGAGAAATAGAGATGAAACCCCCATCTTGGAAAAGAAAAGATGAAGTCTGTATCTTAGAAAAACATATCCTAGATGAAGATTGCATCTCAAGAAAAAGAAGAGATAAAGGCTGCATCTATAGAAAGACCACATCTAAGAAGTTATATTTTAGATGAAGATTGCATCTTCAAAGAAGTAAAGATGAAAACTGCATCTCGAAAAAGAAAAGATGAAGTTTACATCTTAGAAAACTATTTCCTAGATGGAGACTATATCTCAAGAAGAAGAAGAGATAAAGACCGCATATCAAAGAAGACAAGATGAAGTTCGCATCTTAGCAAACCACATCCTAGATGAAGACAACATGTTAGGAAGTAGAAGAGATGAAGATCACATCTCGAAGAAGAAAAGGAAAATACCACATCTTAGAAGGTTGCATCTTAGATGAAGGTGACATCTCTAGAGAAGAAGAGATGAAGACCACATCTCAAGGAAAAAGATACTTTTCACCAATAAATGGTTTAATGATTGTATAAATTTGTTTTTGTACATTGCATTTAGTTTAAAGCCTTCAAATAAGACATTATCAAGATGAGAGCATTCCTATTATTCTTTTCCAAGCTTAAAATTGGGTTATTCTTTTATTCTTTACTTTTCTTTTCGTAAAAAAAGAAAAGTGAAGAGAGAGCAATTGTCATAACCCAATTTTAACCAAGGGCCAAATAATAAAATTGGAAGTCAATGGACTATTTTGTGAAAAGTGTGAAACACGAAAGATAGAAAGGAGGAATTACTAAAACAACATTGTTTTTTTGTTTTGCTAAATTAAAAGGCTAAGTTCCAAATGAACCCTAGCTATCCATGGTTCTTTTGTTTAGCAACTCATGATCCCCTTTTCTTTTCTTTGCTCTATTGGCAGCCACTCTCCAAAAATTCACAAATTCTTCTTGGTTTATCCCTAAATCTACTCGAGTTTCGATAGATCATGGCTTCAGTATGAAGAAATTTTTGGATTTGAAGTTATCATCAAGAACTGTAGAAGAAGATTTCAAAATCAATTCAAACTTGGGAGTACTAATCTTTAAGAGGTATGAATTTAGCCTTGAAAGAGAGAAGATGCGTGAAGAACTAAGCCAATTTTAGAATTCCAAATAGAATTGGGCTATTATCTAAAATTTAGATTAGGACTTAGGACTATGAAAGGGTTGGGGTTCTATTTTCATCTGTATATAGGGGATTTGATTGCTTGAGAAAGGGGAGAAGGAAAATTGGTTGAACAAAAAAGTTGAGAGAAACGGTGAGATAGTTGTGAGATAGAGAACAAGAGAAAATATAGGACCATTGTGTTTGGAATTTTGACGAAATAAAGCTTGAATTACTTGCTTTCTTATAGGTTTCTATACCTCTCAATTGTTGTGTGAAAAATAATTTGGATTATTTTTCTTTTATGACTTCAAGGTTTTTTTCTTTTCCTCTTATTCGTGGAACAGAACATAATAAGGCCATTGCTAAGAGCTTCAATTATTTTATATATATATATATATATATTTTTTTTTTTCTTTCTCCATATTCTGGTTCCATCTTGACCATGGATTAATTTTTTTTTGGTCTGTTTTTTATTTTGAAATTCCTAGCTTTGTTTGTAAAAGTTGGTTTTCAAATTTGTTTATATTAATAGGTTTGTCTAAGTTTGGTTAACATAAAAATCTAAGAAATTGTTACTTCTATATGCTCAAAAATTGTAGTTTGTTTATTATTAAATTTTAAACATCATTTGATTGCTGTTGTTTTGATAACTTGGTATTATTTAGGAAGCAAAGAATGAAGAAAAAAAGGGGTTCATGTTCGTTGCTGACCATTTTGGCATTGCCAGCCAAGTTTAGTTTTAGATTTATGTAATTAAAGACCGATTTAAAAAAAGACTCGGAAATAATAAAAAGAAGTTGGCACAATTAGGATTTACTAAATCATGCATTTCTCTTATATGTTCTTTGTTAATTTATCTTTTCCTCCTTTCATACATTGAATCTATTTTAGTCATTTTTATTAGTAATTGAATAAATCTAAAATTAAAATATGTGGTAATCGTATTCATACGGAAATTGTGGGGTGCGTAATACCTTCCCCATGCTTTAATTGACCCTCTAATCCAAGTCAATTTTTATGTAAACTTTGGTAATTTGTCTCACCTCACTTGAATAAATGGCGATTCCATCTATTTTGGCACATCAATAATCGATATATAGTAGTAAAATTGTAGTTTAGATAGAAAAGACATTTAATAGTCTCTAATCTCATCTTATATATATATATGCTATTATCCTATTATCATATTGTATGGTTTTCATCAGATCTTCACATCAATTTTAAAGCTTATTATCATATGCATATTTTCTTATATTAAAAGACTAAAAATTGCTGGGGAGGAAGCATCTATTTACAACCAAGTAGAAAACTCAAAGATGGCTGCAGAGAATGACAACAATGAATGTCTAGGATTTTTAACTTATATTTTGGATGTGCATGATGGCAAGTTTGTAAATCTGTTTAGAAGTTTTATTGATGAATGATTACTGATGATAATATTTTATTTTGGTTAAAATATTAATTTGATCTTTTAACTTTTAGATATATATTGAAGTTATCCTTAAACTTTAAAAAGTATCAAAATTATTCTTAAACTCTAATATTTGGCACCTAAATAATCCTTCCGTTAATGGAAATGCAATGTAACTCGTTATCTTCCTATAAAATCAATTTTTTTCAAAATACTAATAATATATAAAATTAAATAGCCATGTTTTGCTGTTGTGACATATTTTCATTTATACATCAAATCAATATATAATCAAAATTAAATGACCAAATTGTAACATGTAATGTCACACCCTAGAACCCAAATCCGGAGCTGAAATAAACGCCGTGCACTTGTGAAAGAATCCCATAAATGCACAAGACTTGGAACTTGCTAAATTCATTACTAATAGTTCACATAAACTTATATCAATATTTCAAAAATAACATCTAGCTTACAAAGAATAATCTAGAACTCAAAATCTACGTTCAAAATGCAATGGCTAGCCTTCTAGCTCATCACTCCCCTCGGTTTCCCACATCTCGGTTCTCACTATCTGAAATGGTGGACGAGGAAAAATCTATGTGAGACAACTCGGTAAGTAAAAATATGAATAGCCCTTAATTAAAATTTATAGCATGCCAACAAGTGTAAGCAAGTATGGGAATGAAATAGAGGTCTTTTCTGTAGGTCATGGCCAACGTTTATAAACCTTCCATTGGTGGGCACAAGATTTACTAGTGTATAATCCCACTAGCAAGATAACAGGTATAACAAGAATAAACCGGTTCCATAAGTAATATGTCAACATGTGCTAGCATTTATAAACCTCCCACTAGCTAGCACAGTAAAACATGACCAGATTGGAGACAAAATCAGGTAGGATTTAACAGAAAACCATAATTTACAAATAATTTCCAGATCATCAGGATAGTCAAGTAAATTCCAAGTAGGTATGCTCAACTCAATGAAAATGATAGTAATTTCATTTCAAACCAATCATGCTCGTGTTTGTGTGAAACGGGTTCAGTCCCACCATCAATTCAAAAGCCATCAGAAATATGCTTTCAAAAACCTTTATCTCAAATCCAAAGGCATTGCCATACTTTCACTTACCTCTTCTTGTAGGTATACAAGAAGCAAGGAATTCAATAAGTCAAGGTGCTTGAGGTGATTTGAAACCTAAGCCACATCAAATAAATACTTAGAATATGCTTAAAATAGCTCTAAAAAGACACATGAACAGCAGGTATCCTAAATAGATTTTTTGGACAAAATAGGGTAGGAAATGGTGAGAAATTAAGCTCTTAGCTATCCTAGACACAACAGAAATATTGGGCAGCAGGGGGGGGGGGGGTTTACCATTTATAGCAGTCCCCAAAATGCTTGTAATAAGCCCTGAACAATAGGGATTTTTGGGCAAAAAGGGAGCAACAAAACAGGGTAAAACACAAGCTGGAATTGGGAAAAAATGGACAGCATTTAAGTAGCAAAAAGGGCAGCCAAAGTAACGCAATAACAAAGGGTTTTAGGGCATGAAAACAACAACTAGAAAGCTAGAAAATCATGATGCAATATAGCAGCAGATACAGTGGGAATAAAACAAAAAAGAGAGCAATTTCTGTCAAGTTCTGGTCGGATTTCATGCTGGAATTTCCAACAGAATTCACACCCCTAAATTGACTGATCTAGGTTGAGTGATCAACAGATAAATTATAGCCCTATGTCTTAGAGTTCTACAGCCTCAAGAATTACCTTAATCCAACATCTACAGAGAGAGTTATAGCCAAAAGACTAACACAGGGTCGGGCTGCCAGTTAAGTCCACCTGCGGAAATCGAACTTGCAGGGGATTTTTCACCATGAAAACAGCTTAACTAGGTTAAATTCTCAACAGATAAATTGTAGGGCTGTCTTTTAGCTTTCCACATAATCAAGAATTGAATTAATCCGATAACTATAGAAAGACTTATGGGTAAAAAACCACTGTAAGGTCATGCTGTCCGAATTTGCAGCAAAAAGAGGGATCAGATCTAATAATGCTAGATTATGGGCAAAATCCAGGGGGAAACTATAGAAACACTCCCAAAATTGAAAACCCTAAATGATTAAAAATAACCCACTTCAATTTAAAGATGAAAAGGTGAGTAATATGTCAAATTTCTTACCAGAAGTGTTGGAAAAATGGTAGCCTCTCCTCACACCCAACATGGACTAGAAATGGAAGGATACGAACAGCAAGATCTGGGTTTTTATCATATTTTAAGAATCATAAGCTCATAAATCTCTAACCCTTATTAGGAGAAGGAAGAAAAATACTAAATCTCATCTTATTCTAACGAGAAGAAGCTGCTGGTGCAGGTTGAGCTTGGGGAGGAAAAATTCTGGTGAGGGCTGGGGAAATCTCACAAAAATGGGCTAGGGGAAAAAGGAAAAAATCAGCCTTAGCCCTTAAATATAGATTTCTCCTTTAATGCCCCCCTTAGGTTTGTAAATTTTAGCTATTAAGCCCAAAAATAATAATTCCTCCCATATAAATTCCTAACTTAAATTTAAATTCATTTGTACTAATATAGTCATGTATACACATATACATTTAAATTTTCAAAATTTTGGGATATTACATGTAATTAAAGTTCAAGGACTAAGTTGGTTCTAATGTTTTAAACTTAGGACTATTTTGGTATCAAAAATTAAAGTTTATGGATAATTTTGATACATTTTGAAGTGTTAAATGACAATTTTGACACAAATATGAAAGTTGAAGGACCAACTTAGCATTTTAACCTTTATTTTTTATATAATCATTTATTTAAATTTAACTTTAATTCAGATATGTATGAACAGGCAATTCCCGTTGAATATGAAGGTGTTTTGAAAAATAAATCTATAGTTTCTTTGTGTGAAAAAACAAATTGTAAATGTGGGATTTAATAGCTTTTGCATACCATGGTGATGGAGTATTTCTTTTCACTTATATAACAATAATCTTAGAGAGATTAACCACAAGAACAATGGCAAAACAGTTTCATCATCAACTGGAATGAAAAGGAAGTGAAATAAATATGGTTTGTGCATTTTACACCTTTATGTTATAAAGTTTAATTTTTTTTCTTATTTTAAAATATGGGATTAAATTTATGAATGTTTGAGTAAATGGTTTTTATTTTTTTAATTTTTTATACAAATACAACAGAAACTCCTGAAAGTTCAGATAACAATATAGTATTCACTACAAGAATTCACTGTATCACCGACGAGAAGCCATGTCGGAAACAAGAGGGAATCTAGTCGGTGAAATAAAATACCCACTTGAATCACGTCGGTGATAGGCTTCTTGGTGAAGCCGGGCTCGGTGATTCAAACATCGACGTAGAAGAAAATCACGTCGGTAAACGGACCCAAAATTACCGACAAAGAACATCTTGGAAATAGGGAGCCGGAACAGTCCATCGGAAAACATCTTTGGTTCCACGTCGGTAAATTACCGACAAGGATAATGTCTGAACATATACAGAAGCCTCGTGCCCAGCGCCTATCACTGACGAACATCACGTCTGATAAGCCAGGAAAAATGCTTCGCAATTAGAGTCATGTTAGTAAATCACCGACAAGAACCACGTCGGCACTAAACAAAGATCTTCCCTGCAGGATCAGATCATCTCCAAAATTTTAGGTGCCAATTTTTTCAGGCACCATTTTTTATTTTTGTTTTCCTAGTTACCGACAAGAATCA